CGGGCGGTGCCGAGGGCTTCCACCTGCACGGGGTGAGTCGTCCCCGCGGCGCCAGTGACCTTGGCCTGGCGCCGACACCGACGAGCTGGGACTCCCGATTGCCGGCCGGGGGTCGGCAGTGGCGGGGTCCCGGCCCTAGTGCGGCCGCCGGGGGAGACGGTGGTGCCACTTTCCGGTGGGAGCCACGGGCGAGAGGCGGTCCCGCGGCACTTCTGGGCCCCGGCCCGTCTGTGGCCGCTGTCGGCCCGGTGCCAGCCCCGAGTGCCAGCTCTGCAGGAAGCGGAGCGTTTCCTGGTCAGGTTGGGCCGCCCCGGAATGGCACTTCTCCCGGGTGAAGAGTGAGTGCACCAGGTCCAGTCGAGACGCCTTTATGCACTTTAGTCACATTTATGATCGCCTGCTGTGCACCGCGCTCCGCACTGGGCCTGGGGAGAGAGCCGACAACGCTCAAGTCCCGGCCTTGGATCCAGGGGGTCGGGGTAGCCAAGTGGACGCCACCTTTTAGGGGAGCCCGCTGGCGCGTATCCCGCCCATCGTGAGGTCGATAGCATCTGGAGATGGGTATGGGGAAGAGTAATGGCTGGGGGATCAAATGGTGGTGCCATCCACTGGGGTGAGGTAGAGGATCAGGGAGAACCATCCAGAGAAAATGGGAGCAGGAGAGCCAAGAGAGTGCGACAGAGGGTTCGGAAAGAGAGTTTGCAGCAAGGGGAGGGTCCCTAGGTGGAACATTGCGGAGAAGCGCGGTAAAGGTCTGCGGCTGAGAATGTGCCCTCGGTGTCGCCACAGAGACGTCTAGGTGAGCAATCCCGGGGAAAGTGGAGATGCAGTGGGTTCCCAGAGTCCGAAGGTGAGGAAAGGGGCCTGCGTCCGGATGGAGATTTGGGGTGCTTTGTACTGCTGAGAGGGAGGGGCTATAACTTAGATGAGAGGGGCTGGAAGGTCTCTGCCCCTAGAGCCAGGACTCCTTTTTCCCTTTTGCGTGGTGGATGGCTGCAGAGATGGGCATAGATAGGCTGTCAGTTTGGTGCCTGGCTGTTGAGTGGTCTCTGTATTGTGATTGGAGGCTCTGTTACCAACCAGGAGATGGAGGCTGAGGAGCTAAAGAAGGGGTTTTCTAAAAGGAAAGGCTTCAGGACCCAGAGGTGACAGGATTCGTGCTCCATGATGGACTTTCCCTAGTGGACATCATGGAGAGGCACCAGACAGCAAAGGTGGACAGGGGAATGCATGCAGCGGAGAATGTTTTCCGGGAAGGCAAATTGAGGATATTGACAAGGGTTGGGGACCATGGTGGGAGTGAAGACAGGAAGGGCCTGTTGGAGGGGGACAGAGAGGAGAGATTGAGGGATTGGAAGTCTTCATTCACAGAACAGTGATTTTTGAGCACATACTCGGTGGTGGGCAGTGTTCTAGGCCCCAGAGATAAAGCAGTGAACAGAACAGACATTGTCCTTATTCTCATTTGGATGCTGGCAGGGAGGAAAGAGAGGCAGACAAGAAATAGAAATATATGGTAGGTGTTGATCATTGCTAGGGAGAAAAATAAAGCAGGTAAGGGGATCCAGAGTGATGAGTGGGTGCTGTTTTGGATAGAGGGGTCAGGAAAGGCCTCTGATCAAGTAACATTTGAACAGACACATTGCGAGGAAGAAAGGAGTGGACAGTACAGATATTTGGGGGAAGAGCATACTGGGCAGAGGGAGGCCCTGAGGTACGACTATGCTTGCTGTGCTCGAGGAGAAGCGGGGACGTGGGGCTGGTGTGCTTGGATGGCATGGCCCCTCTGAGGAGAGTGGTAAAGGACGAGGCCAGGTTGTGTGGGGCCTTGAGTGCTGTTCTGAGGATTTAAGATTTTATTCCAAGATGTGGAGTCATCAGAAGGTTTTAAGTGGAAGTGTGACATTACCTACTTAACGTTTTTAAAGACCAAAGAACACGTGTGCTGCCATCTGTAAATATTGGCGTTCCCACTGTGTCCCAGGCATGCTGGCGACGTCCCTACCCTCAGCAAACTTAGAACAGCGGAGGATTCAACAGGAAACGGCTGTTCCCGGGGCCGTGGGCAGGAGCAGGCTCTGGATCATATTTCCTGGGGTCAGATTGTTGTTGAATAACTGAGTACTTTTCCTCCTGTGTCTGTTGGGGTTAGTGAGAGGGTAAAATGACAGAAGAAGCAGGTGGTGCAGGCCCTGGCACCCAGCCAACCCTCAGGAAGTGTAAGCTGCTGTCCTTGTTAATCAGGTGCCCTGATGGGGAACTCCGGGGGAGTGCTATGAAAGCAGCATGTGTTGTGGGGCTGCGGGGTTGGGTGTAATGGGAGCCCCCAAGGGATAGCCAGACAGAGGGCGGTGCTGGTTGCAGGCCTGGGTGTGCAAGGGGGCATTGGCGTAGATGATTTCTGCTGTGGAGACAAGAGTGGGCCATGACAAGGCCCACGACAAGAGTAGTGAAGTAGGGCCAGGCCTAGGACTAGGCCACAGGAGAGGGTAGGCAGAGGCGCTGGATGGGCTGGGAGAGGGCCGGGCATGTGCTCTGGACTCCGAGCCTCTGGGCCTCATTAATGACAGGGTCGCTGACACATGGCACTGAGGAGGGTAGAGGGCTAGCAGGGAGCGTCTCCCTGCTAGCTCTCTCTGATTAACTGTTCTCTGATTTTCAAAAGACACCTCATCCCAGCTTCCCTGGAAGAGACAGGGCAGGCTCTGAGCAGCTGCCCTCTGGGCCAGGCCACCTAGGGCTGGAGTTGGTTTTTGAACTCAATCTCAGTGGAAGCCGTGACAGGTTCTGGAGGTGGCAGGGAGGGGCTCTGTTGCTGACACTGCTAGAAGGAGTCCCAATTCCAGGGGCGAATTGGCCTCTCCTTCAGTCTGGGGACTCCAAGACTGGAGGGGCTGGTGGGTGGCAGAAGCCATGGGCCCTTCCCCTCAAGGAGGCATCCAGAACCTGAGGCCACATGAGCCCTGTGCCCCATGGGCCGGGGCCTGGCTGAGGCCTGACCGGCAGGGCATCAAATGCTCACAGCCAAAGGCCTGAGGGTGTGGGGCCCACCTTCAGTCCAGACCTGAGGATAAAGGCCACATTGTCTGAGCAGGGCTCTGTGAATGGGGCCTTTGAGATGGAGTTCCACCATGGCTACAAGCCTGGTTGTTGTGCTTTTGGAGACAGCAGTGAATTTGGGAGTTGAGGGCAGGGCAGAGAGCACCCTTGGGCCAGGAATGGCTCCTGGAGGAGCCGTCCTGTGTAGGGTGAGGTTGGATTGTGAGGGGGACTTGGCGCTATTTCGGGGCTGCGAGCTCCGTGGCTCAGACTCATTCCAGACCCTGGGGTCTGCTTTCCTTAGCCTCCCCCCCTCAACAGCTCCCATCACCTGCAGGCCTGAGCTTGAATCTGTCACCACAGGGTCTGGGGCCCTCTGGGATCTGGCCCCAGGCTGCCTTCCCAATTCGGTCTTTCTGGGCACAGCCCTGGTTCTGTCCATTGGGGTACTCCCTTCCTGTCCTCATCTAAACCTTTCTGGTCAACCCCTCTGGCTTTCTAGCGGTCCCTGACCAGCCCCCCGGGGGAGTATCTGCGTTGCCCTGTCTCCGTGCGGCCTACTGCCCTGGGCTGTCCTTGGAGGCATCTCTGGAAGCATGGTCTGTGGAACAGGTTCAGGAAAGAGTCATTTTCCAAAAGAGGAAAACTTGTGCCTGGGAAGGTAGTGAGAGGATGGAGTGAACTTTGACCACACCCACACGTGGCCTCCTCAGAACAGTTCATGCCAGTGTATGTGTCCTGGCCAGGACACCAGGAGTGGTGATCGTTTCTAGAATTTGAGGGCTGGGGGCTCCTGGGAGAGTCTTGGGCTGGGTGCAGTGACTGTGGCCTCTGCCCGTTGCAGGTGCAGGAGAACTCCCCTGCCCAGCAGGCAGGCCTGGAGCCCTACTTCGACTTCATCATCACCATCGGGCACTTGCGGCTGGTGAGGAGCCCCTGTCCTGCCTCTGCTTTGCTTGTGTGTGTGCATGTGTCTCCTTCTGTCCCTCAGGGGGCCCCAGCACCCTTTTCTGCTGGAGGGAGGCCGAGCCCCATCTCCCCTTCTCCTAGGGGATCACTGAGCCTGACTGGGGCCTGGCTGGAGCTCAGCTCCTGGGCTCTTGGGGGTGGACTGGAGGCAGATGGACTCTTGGAACTGGCTGCAAGGCCTATGGGGCCTGCCAAGAGGGGCCTGAGAGGTGTGGGGACTCTAAGAGGGACAGTGCCGCAGTGCTCTTGACCCAGGGGCTCTTGGCTTACGTTGTTGTGTTTTCTGGCAG